CCCTCCTTTCCCTCCTCCCCTCCTCTCCTCCCTCCCTCCTTCCTTCCATGGCCTTCTGGGAGTTGTAGTTTCCACGACCCAAGCACACTAGTCAGTGATTGTTGCGCAGGCGCGCGCGCAGGGCTTTCTGGAAGTCGTAGTTCATGGGCAGTGTGCTCGGGCCGCGCCTCTTATGCGCAGGACATACCGGACTCATTTGTTCTTGTCTCTGGCGGCCTAGGTTTTGGCCTCTGTGCAGCTGAAGCAGGCGAGATCCCCGAGGTCTGCGAGGGCAAGAAGGGGAAGCCGACCGGACTCCACTGGGCTCAGCGGGAGCTGCCTGGAGCCTGTGGCCCCAGCAGTGGGGCGCCGATGGCAGGCGCGCATGCGCGAACGCGTGCGTGGCTGCTTGTGCATTTTCATGAGCTTGTTCCCGTGCAAGTGTGACTGTGTGTATACCTGGTCATGGCAGCGCCTGCCTGCGTAGGTGTGACTGCATGAGAGCTCATCCCCACGTGTCCTTGTTTGCACCTGCTAACTCCAGCGAAGTGTCGAGTCTGCAGGTGAAACTGTGTAACAGCATGTGTGCATGCATTTGGGCATCTCTGCATATCGCGCCACGGCCATGGCACGCATAGTCACACAGGTGTGTGGCTGACTCTGGACACGTATGAAATTTATCTTCCTGGATGCGAGGTGAAGGCTCCCCCCGTCTGTGTTCTGGGTATGCAGCAGTGTAGGATAAGTCAGACCTGTGCTTGCTAGCATGAAACTAGGTGGCCCGATGTGCCAGTATCATTCTGTACAAAGAGGGCCCTCCGGTGTCACGGTGTGTTTGTGTTGCTGTGTGTGATCTGCACATGAGGGAGACCATGCACACGCGGACTTTGCTATGTTGGGGCTCTGCCCACCAGGTATGACTATGCCTATGTCCAGGTGTGCTCCTGTAGGTAGTTTCCCAGCACATGGCCTGCCTGTGCTAGAGAGGGTGACCTATGCAACCTTGATCCCTGAGTGTCCCTGTTCACTTGGAGACAGTACACATGGGATAGCTACCTGTGCCTAAAGTCCCATAAGCAGGCATGAGTGCTGCAGGTGCACAGCTTCCCACCTGCCTCCTTGCCCGTGGGGAAGCATGTGTTCCTGCATGTCTGTTATGATGACCTGGGTTATGATGACATGTGACTGTGTATGTTGGCCTCTGAAATAACGTATGTGCCTATCTGTGATGTGAAGTAAAAAAAAGAAGTATATTTGGTCATTGTCTCCATTTCCTGGCATAGAGCTAAAACTGGATTTCCTTAGTGATGGGGTAAGAACTGCGTCTTCCATTATTCACAATGCTGGAACTCCTTTCAGTCAGCCTTGTGTTTATTGCTAGTGAGGTGACTTCTGGTGAGTGGGCCTCTGGGTGGCCTCAGGATGGAGCCTGTGGCCCCGGGAACCCACTCTGAATGAAGTGTTCCAGGCTTCAGCTCCAGCGCCCCCCCCCCGCCCCCGCACACACAGGGGACTGGAGGTTGAGGTCATCACCAATGGTCAAGGTGGAATCAGTCACGTCTACATAATGAAATCTTCATAGAACCCCTAAAGGTCCGGGTTTGGAAAGCTGTAGGTGGGTGGACCCAGGGTGGCACACCAGCAGAAGCACGGACGCTCACGTGGCTCCCGGTGGACTTTGCCCTAACGTCTTCCACGAGGCTGCTCCTGAGCCAGACCCTTTACAGTCAACGGTGACGGCAGGCGGAGGGCTTCCCTGAGCCCAGGAGCTCATCAGGCAAGCCGTCCCTCCCAGGCAGGGGTTGTGGGAAGCCTCCCCACCGCTCCCCACCTTGTGACTTGTGGGGTGGGGGCCTGCCGGCCAGAGGGGCCTGAACGCCGAGTGCTGGTGTGGGGAAACTCGTCTTGAGTGTTGGCAGTGGGAGGTCCCTTTACCACCCCAGGCCTGTCTGTGTCCCCATCTTGGGCTCCCTACCACCCAGAATCCCGTGTCCTCCCTCATCACCCGTGTCTGTCCCAGCCTCTACCGTCAGGGTCCCCGTTTCTCCTGCAGATGTCAACTAACCCATTGAGGCCCAGGAGCCCCAAGAAGGGCCACACCTGCCGTGACGGGACCTGGTGCTCCCAGGATATGAGGTGGGTACCACTGCCCGTGCCTGGGGGCAGCCTGTGCAACTGGCATGGGCCCTGGGGCCAGCCCGGCCCCCACCACAGGGCCTTGCTGCTGTGCACACAGGGTCCTGCCCACGCTGGCCCTCTCCCCTGTCACTCTGTCTCCTGTTCCAGGCTGGGGTTGCTCTGCCCCAGCCCGGCCCCCCACCCACCCGTGGGGGACCTGCGACAGGCCCTCTGCCCTCTCGGCCCCAGAGTCTCTAGTCCAGAGTCTGCGCTCAGTGTGGCCCAAGCTGGGGAAGACCTTCCCGGCACAGCAGAATCGTGTGTTAAGGGCTGGGTGGCTCTGGAACGACACATGTGCCCCGAGGCCCTGAGGCCAGGAGCAGGCCCTGCAGCCCCAGGGTTCTGGGGCAGGAGCCTGAGGTCAGATGCTGGGGAAGGGCACCTCCGCACTGTGTCCTCCTCTGGCAGAGAGGGCAGCTCTGCTCTCTTGCTCTTCTTATAAGGACACAAACCCAGCTCAGCCCTCCCCTCGTGGCCTCATCTGCCCAACTCTCCAAGGCCCCACCTCCAAAAACCATCACCTTGAGGCCAAGGGCTTCAACATAGTCATTTGGGGACATGGTCTAGTCTGCAGCACTCGGTTACAGCCCATATTCAAGATTGACAGGTTCTTTTATTAATTTTGTGATTTTTTTTTAAGTGGGCCAGGGATCTTTTTTGAACTTGTTTCAGATGCCCAAGCCAGTAAGTCCCAACCAGGGAGGACTTCATCCCGGGAACACTTGGCAATGTCTGGAGGCGTTTTGATTGTCACTACTGCAGAACACCACTGGCCTCCAGCATGGGGAGACTGGGAACGCCACTCAGCCTCCCTCGGCACACGGGTGAACACCCAGGACAAAGAATTACTGACTCAAGATGCCAGGGTAGGCAGGTCCAGGGATCGGCACCAAGCCCTTCCTAGGCCAGCTCCTCCCAGCCCAGGGCAGAGGATAAAGCTGATGGATTTATTTTCCTTCAGATCCAGAGAGGAGCTGGAAGATCAACGCAGCACCCGGGGAGCAGGATGGAGGGGCTCTTGAACACCACCCTCCGGGGCTCTGAGCTGGGAGGTCCCTGGAAAGAGGAAGGCGCGTTTAAGGACTCACAGGAAAACCCGGAGAGCTGCATGGAGCCAGGGGCCCACAGGGGAGAGGCTGCAGGAGAGGCCGTCCAGGAACATGGTCGGTGGGCTGCGTGCCAGAACGTCAAGCTCTGCTGTGACCCAACTGGGCGCGCCCAGCAAAACCAGGCTGCGAGAGACCACGCGCCAAGGAAGAGCCTGGAGCAGAACACGGGCACCAGCCAAGGGGGGAAGGGTGGAGGCCCTAGGAAGCCTGGAGGTGCGAGGACTGTGGGAAGGCCTTCAGGTCCTGTTCAGCATTCATCCTGCACCAAAGAATCCACACTGGGGAGAAGCCATTCCCGCCCTGAGTGTGGCAAGGCCTTCGGTCAGAGCGTGCACCTGACCCTGCACCAGCGCACGCACCCGGGCGAGAAGCCTTACGGCTGCGGGGACTGCACCAAGGCCTTCAGGTGCTTCACACACCTGACACAGCACCGGCGCGTGCCCACGGGCGAGCAGCCCTGTGCCTGAGTGCAGTGCGCCAAGGCCTTCCGCAACCGCTTGTCCCCGATGGAGCACCAGCGCATCCTCACGGGCGAGAAGCCCTTTGAGTGCGCCCAGGCCTTCCGCTCCTCCTCCGGTGGTCCGCCACCAGAGACCCACACCGAGGAGAAGCTGTACTACTGCAGCCTGTGCGCCGAGGCCTTCCAGCAGGTCGCGCACCCGGCACAGCAGCGGGGGAGCAGCACACGGGGGAGCAGCCCTACGTGTGCCCCGAGGGCGGCACACCCTTCAGCCAGCGCATCCACACGGGCGGGCGGCCAGTGCACCAAGGCCTTCGCACAGGTGTGGCATCTGACACAGCACCAGCACACACACAGTGAGCGGCCCTACAAGCGCCAGGACTGTGGCAAGCGCTCAGCAACCGCTGGCACTTCCTCCAGTACCGCCTGGGGCACACCGGGAGTGGCCTACAGGTGCCTGCCGGGCAGCGCCGCCTTCGGCCACGTGTCCTCCCTCAGGGAGCACCAGAAGATCCCCTAGGAGTGCCATGAGCGTGGAAAGGCCTTCCGGAGCCACCTGGTGCACACCGGGGAGCACGGCCTTCCCCTTCTCCTGGGCACTCACGAGACACCAGAGGACGCACGGACAAGAGGCCCTACCCGTTTGTCCCATGCGGGTCAGCTTTTCCCTGCAGCCACACCTAACTCAGGGGCGAGCGGGGGTGGGGTGGGGGGAGAGGCCTGCTCTCAGCCGTGACCCAGCAGACACCTGTGTGGACATGCAGAAGAGTAAGAGCTGAGGCACAAGCAGGACCTCGCACGCCTCCTGTCCACACCTCATTTACAGCCTGAGCACTGTGGGGCAGAAGCTGTGTTCCGGTGGTGTCCTGGGAAGCCAAGGCTCAGAGAAGCTCCGTTACTTCCCAGAGGTCACACAGCAAGGAACACCCAGGGGGCTGGGGCTGAACCCCACGACTGCCAGAGCAGTCTGGGCACCTCCATGTGGGGACTTGGAAACGCACACAGGCAGGTGGACCCACAGAAATGCCTAGAGTCTCTGGCTGGCCTTTTAGTTGTTCACTTTATGATATACTAGGCATGAATATTACTAAATATTTAGTAAATATTAATAAATACACATTTAGTAAATGACAGCGAGAGGTTCTACTCCTTAGTGATGCTGCATATTTACTAAAGGAGCCGTCTGGAAAAGCAATCTGGATCTAAGACAGAACTTGTGCTCAGAGAAGGAGCAGGAGGAATGCGGAGCAGGGAGGGCCCCTCCAGGAGGGGTGGTTCTGCACACACCTGCCCAGGTGCCTGTTCCCCAGTGGACCCCACCTTTTATTCCGTGTGAGGAAGCCCCCAAGACCTGACTTCTATGGCTTCATCAGCTCTCACTGCACAGCCAATCATCAGGTGTCCCTTACCATTTCTTTTGTGTCAGCAGGTCAGCCCGGTGGTTCTGCTGGGTCTTGGCTCTCTTAGGCATCTGTGGTCAACTGTGGATCGTGGGAGGGCTCCAGTCAGGAGGGTGCAGCTAGCCGCACTCCACTGTCCTCCTTGAGACTGGCGGCTAACTGGGCTGTCCCCCTGGCCTGGCAGAGGGAGAGCGTGACCACAGCAGGGCAGTTTCCCAGCTGCACCCAGAAGTGTGGGGAGGACGGCTCAAGGGAAGAGTGGAACGTGGGAATCATCAGCGCCACCCACCTGCCACAGATGAAATCACAGTGACGGTCACATCACTTTACAAGACTGAAACGTCCTAACAAGATCTCCTCGAGGTAAATATGTTCCATGTAGTTTACCATTTATTGAAAAAAAAAAAAGAATAAAAGAAACTCTTATGGCCATGTCCCCCAGCTAACAAGTCACCTCCACTAGAAGAAATGTTTGAAAATGATATGACTTAAAAAAAAAAAAAGTTTAGGCTTGAAAATAGCCGAGATACACTGGTCTTTAACACAGGGAGAAATGCGACAGAAACAAGCTCTGTGGGAACCCACCTGAGACAGACGGGCGGCACACGGCGGACACAGCTGGCTGCTGCCCCTCCTGGGGGCTGGAGTAGAACAGGGGGCGTGGGTTGCTTGGCTGCTGTTTTTTATTATTTATTTAGTTTTAGGTGGAACAATGTTTAATTTTTATGTGGTGCTGAGGCTCGAACCCAGTGCCTCATGCATGCCAGGTGAGCCACAACCCCAGGCCCTATTTTTTTGTTTTTGATCTGCATCCTGATATCACCTGCACAGGTCTCGGCTCCCAGGAAAGTTCAGGCTGAGGAATTAATAAGTCAGACAGTTTGATCAGGACCTGTTGCCCCTCAGGTACCAACTCCCTGTGACCCACACATCACAGCCCAGAACGCAACACACAGTAGGTTCTCAAGAATTGCTGCAGATCAGAATGAATAGTTGTACCAGAGCCAAAGCCATTCAGGGCCAGGGAACAGAGTACTTTCTTCCCTGTGCCCCATACAGCCCAGTGCTGCCCTGGCACACAGCAGGTCCTCAAGAGACGCCAGATGAATAAGCGGCTCAGTCTCCTCAGTACTAGCACAGGGGACAGCAGGGTGAGGACCGTGGAGTCTGGCGCCTCCCTCTGGCCAAACTTTGTCCAGTCCAGGTCTCAGCACACAGAAGGTCCTCAAGAATAACTGTCCACCCCCAGCACCAGCCCTAGAGCCACTCAGGGCTAGAGACCACACAGTGGGCTCCTCCCTATGCCTGACACACCACCCAGCCTAGAACTCGACACACAGTAGGTGCTCTGGAAATGTTGGGTGAATGGGCAAATGAGTGAAATGGAACCCTAGTTGACAGTTATGGGCAAAGTTTGGTCACCCGAGACAGCAGGTGAGCCCAAGCCGGTAGTTGGACCCTTCTGCGGAGACCACGAGGCTGCGGGAGGGGCCAGGACTGTGGGCGGAGCCACGATGGCAGGGAGGGCGAGGCCAGTGGGCGGGGCCTTCTGAATCCCTTCAGAGCAGCCTAGTGGGAGTGCGCAGGCGCAGGCGCCTCCGGAGCCTCTCAGTGCTCAAGTGCTGAGTTCACCAGGGGCGCTGCGCTGTGCCAGCAGGTGAGGGATCGCCACTGAGCCCACTGGCACTGGGCGCTTTGGCACTGGGTCAGTGTTGGCTGATCCTCTGGCGGTGAGCTCCTGGCCCTGCGGGGGAGCAGGATTCTGCCTGAATCCCTCCTGCTGTTTAAGAGTCTACCCTGGGTCTGCTGCAGATGGACCCTAGAAGCGGACTCCAGAGGAATCCTTCTAGAAGACACTTCCGAGCCTGTGACCCTCCAGGACTGGCAGGGAGTTAGCTTGCGCTGATTGAGCACGGGATGCCACGCCCCGGGTGGGGGGGGCAGCGGGCAGCAATCTGTCAGCCCCAAGCCGGTTGCTCTGGGGAGGGGACTGCCTGTCCTCAGAGAGTCCCTGAAGGGCGTCCAGCATTTCCCTATCCCCGCAGCCTTGTGGAACTCGCAGGCTTGGGCACAGATCTCCCCTACGGGTCCTCCCCAGAGGCCACTTCCGGATGCCACCTGGTCCACGCCCTGCTCTAGAGTGGGCCACGCACCTCAAGGGCATGGGACCAACGGTGGGAGAGGGTGGGGTCCTGCTCGCACTGCTCCAAGCACCTGGAGGCTGCTGCCCAGGGAGCTCTGCAGGAACCGCGCTGACCAGGCTCCCCTGTGGCCCCTCAGCCGTGAGAACCGCGCAAGAGGCCCGAGAGGGGCGTGCTGCCCGGGGGGCTAGGGCCTCTCCGCAGGGAGACGAGCAGGACAGGAGGCCAGTGTGAGTACTGAGGCCCGCATGGGTGACCCCGGAGTCCAAGGGGGCGAAGTTGTGCCTAAGGAGGGCGCGTGGCGGTGGTGCAGCAGGAACCCTGGGCTGCCGAGGCCAGGTGCGCCCAGCTCAGCCTGCAGGGGTCCAGCGAGCAGCCCGGGCCCCGCGTGCCTGGTGTGGCCTCCTGGTGGTCCTGATCCTCTTCACATCCATAGCCTCCACGGAGCCCTGGCGCTGTGGCAGCCCACGAGCTCCCAGAAGATAAACACACACACCACACACATCGCACAAACAACAGACATCACACACACACACACACACACAATTTTAAAAAGAGCAGAATGAAAATATCAACTAGCATTAGACAAGGAAAATTTTAAGGCAAAGGCTGAGTTGAAGGCAATCATTTCATATTTGATAGAAGATTCGGGGTCAGGTTTTAACTGACATTTATTGAGTGCCTACTATATGCCTGGAACTGTGCTTGGTGTGTTACATATATTGCCTATTTGACTAAGCAGTGCTGGACTTATCGGCATTGATTTACACAGCTATTGAATACATAAAGCCAATATTATAAAAATATATTGGTAAACCAGTTGTGCTAACAGATTTTCACACAGTCTGATTAGTTTCTGATAGATGCAGTGGGCCACATTAAATCACATGAATTATGAGCAGTATAACTGACCGTGCCCGGCCAGTGAGCAGATGCAAAAGCAGTTAACGTCTACAGACGATGAGCACATGCTCAATCTTAAATGTCCATGAAACTAGAGAAGCCAGCTATGTCCTAGGCTGCAGTAAGAGCTTCTCACAATGTCTTGAAAGAACATCTATTTCTAGGCCACGTTCTCTGTTCACGGTGCAGTAAAACCAGAAACCAGAAACGAATTTTAAGCAAAACTTAGCCAAATCACTGAGATTCAAAGCACTCTCTAGGAACACTACAAAAACAAAACAAAACAAAAAACTATATAAACAAGAACATGTGGCCAAGGCTGTATCCAGAAGTACATTTATATTTTTAAATAGGCTATTATTGCAAATATAAAGAGAGTACAGATTAAGTATACAACTTAAAAGTTGAGATAAGGAATAAAAACAAGTAAAAATAAAACACAATATATATTAAAGAGAAATGAATCACAAATGAAAAATAATGGATATAAGTAAATCCTAATGCTGAGTCTTTGAAAAAACAGTAATAAGCCAGTTAAAACTTTCAAATCAAATTATGAAATAAACCGCAGGCAGAAGTTAAAAGGAGACTATGGCTAGAACACAACAAAGAGAAAGTCTGTGTTTAATTATAAAACAGGACGCGTAATTAAAGTAGCTATCTGAAAAAGTCTACGGAATGAAGAGTCCTTTAGGGGATGAAAGGCCACCGTAAACCATCAAAAGGAACAAGATGTAGAAGGTATGGATAGACCTCCCCTCGTGGCTCTGGGACCTGGCTGCCTTGGGCCCTCTCACATTACAGAGAGTATCCCAAAGCAAAGAAAGGGCCAAGGTACTCGGGTCTTCCTGGGATGCCAGCTAGCCATGATGCCGAACTTCACAAAGATAGCACCGATCTCACTTGTGAAGAGAGGCAAGAGCCCCACGTAAACATGGAATAAAAGAACTCAGCGTAGGAAGACTGGCACACCCCAGCCCCAAGAATGGGAAGACGAGGGTGCCCGGAAGCCGCCAGATTCCACAGCCGCTAAGCTGTCTTCGCCTCCTCTGAAGTTAAGAGGAGTCTTCTGATTGTTGACATCTTGCAACTGATTCCCATTTTTTCTCAGTGATATATAAAATAAAATGTGTTTTACAATCAATGAGGCTTAATTTTAATGAAATACAGTAATGCAAAACCTCACACTGAAAAGTTTTTTGTTTTTTTAAATCATCTCAGTGGATGTTTGAAAGGCATTTGATAATATTTCATACTCATTCCTGATTTTTAGGCCAAACATTTCCTTAAGATGACACAGGGTATCTCTCTGAAAACAACAGCCATTCTCATAGCTGAAAGTGAAACATCATGGGCATCCCCGTCAAAACCAGGAACAGAAACAGCACGCACACCACCAGGACTATAGTCGTATGCTGTGGAGCTTTCGACCACTCCACAAAGCCCTGAAACAGAAGAGAGGTAAGTGTGAACACCACAGGAAGGGGCCACCACCTTCACTTGTAGGAAAATAGGATTATCTGGCCAGAAAAGAAACAGCATATCAACAGAAAAGCTTTTTGAAATGAAAACGGTACAACAAAGTGACTAGATATAAAAAATAGCATGCCTATGCTCCATTGGAGAAAATTTCAGAATAATGGATGAAAATTTCAAAATGTCATTGGTTTAGAAAGTCTTACAGATTTAAAACACCACTTAAACTCTGGTTAGTCATTGTTGTTCATCTCTTCCTCTAATTTATAAACTATACTGTATCATAGGTATGCACATACAGGGAAAGACAGGACGTACAGGATGTGGTACTCTCGTGGGTTTCAGGCATCCACTGGGGTCTTAAGACATGCCGTGGGGAAGTCTCTGAACAATCTTCAGAGGTGAATACTGCACGAAGTGGCTCCCAGAACAGGGAGCAGACCATCACCAGCACCCCAAGTCCCCAGGTTCCCTCCCACTCTCACTAGTCCACCTTGGTCCTACCTCTAGAGTTGTGGAAGAGTTCACCTGTTACAGCCACCTTCATCAGGGAACTTTTCTGGGCACTGGTATTTCTTTTTTCCTTTAAACTCATACACTCGAATAGGATTTGCAAGTGTTGCACCTGCTTGTGTTTATAGAATGGTAGTGACAGGACCCTTTTCTCCTCCAGAGTGGGAACTTCTTCACTCTTGGAATACAACTCCAAGGAAGGAGGACCTGACCATGCAGAAAGCTCGGCTGGGCTGACCAGGTGAGTGGATTGATGGATGAGTAGGTGGATGGATGGATGGATGAACCTGAATGGGTGAATGGATCAGCGAAGGATCTCACAGAGGCCTCTTCAAACAGCCTGTCTAAATTGACCTTGGGTTCCTTCCGGAGCACGTGTGGATAAAGTTACATACATATCACATGGAGACCCTTCACTTGTATCCAACTACCAGAAGAATGTGTCCTCTTTCCCACAACCTGCTCCTTGATCTCTGCAGTGCTTTGACTGTGTCCCCCAAATGATTGCAGTGGTCTACAAGACCCTGTGTTGTCTACCCCATCATTCCATGGCCTCACCTACTGCTGCCCTCCACTCCTCTCCATCCTTATGACCCCTGTGCTACTGCTCAAGTGTGTAGGGGCAGATGGGTTGGATAGATGAATTTCTGGCATGTGGTTAAAAGGGTATATGAGAGAGCACGTAGATAACTAGATACACGGGTGATGAGATGGGAACGTAAGTGAACAGGGCGTTAAGGACTGGGCAGATGGACAAGGGAACATATGAATGACTGGTGGGTGTTCCATGGGAGATGGAGGAGTGGATGGGTGGTGGATAGACTGATGACTAGAGATAGAAGGGTAAGTAGAGGGGAGAGTGAATGGACAGATAAGTGAACAGATAGGTGAGGTGGGTGGATGGACAGATGGATGTCACAGGGATATGGATGAGTGGGTGAATAATAGTTTGGGTGGATATAACAGTGAACATATGGATGAAATGTTGGTGGATGTTTGAAAGGATAGGTAGATGGGTAGATGGATGGGTGGATGGATGGATGGGTGGATGGATGGATGGATGGGTGCAGAGATGGGTAGATGGGTGGGTGGGTGGATGAGTAGATATATGGGTGGGTGGATGGATGGATGGATGGATGGATGGGGTAGATGAGTGGATGGATAGATGGGTAGATGGATGGATGGATGAAGAGATGGATGGATGGATGGGTGGATGGAAGGGTGAAGAGATAGGTAGGTGGAAGGGTGGGTGGGTGGATGGGTGGGTGGATGGATGGGTGAATGGGGGCAGATGGGTAGATGGGTGGATGGATGGGTGAAGAGATGGGTGGGTTTGTGAGTGCAGGGATGGAGAGCATGTGTGGATTAAGTCACAGACCTATCACATAGTGTCTTTGTCTGATCACCATAAGAATGTGTCCTCTTTCCCACAAGACAACTCTTGGAAGTCCCAGGCTGAAGAGGAAAGCATGGCAGCCCACTGAGACCCTCAGGCGAGACACTGATGGAAAAGGAGAGAAGCCCGCCTGCCACATACCTGGGAGTCCTCTGACTCGTCATCTTCCTCCACTGAGCACCACTCCTGGGAAAGTCCAGTCTCCTGAGAAGACAGGTCTGACGGGGGCAGGAGCAGAGAAGAAAGGAGCCATGAGCGAGTGACCAGGCCACTGAGGCAGGCCTCTCTCTTCCTACTGGCGTCCTACCCTTCTCTGCTGACTCCTGCCAGCTGCGCTGGCCAGTAGAGCTCAGGTGGGCAGGAGAGGACGTGAGCATCCGGACCCTTCGGCCTCCTGGCCCCACACTGGCTCACCTGATGTGCCCTTCTCCCTAGGCCTCTGTCCCCTCACCTGTCCACTGGCAGGAGCTCTTCTCCATGGGCCTCCAGCAAAACTGACTGAGGGAGCAGCAGCAGCAGCCAGGGAGTGACATCAGGGTGACGGGGTCCGTGATTTCCCACGGTGGCCCCTCAGTGTCCTCAGCCCGAAGCTGAAGATCCTGGGCAGAGACTGGCATTTCCCTCCTCCTCTGTTACAGCCCACAGGGCCCAAGCCTCCTCCTCCCTCCCCCACCTCAGCTCCATCCCGTCCCTGGAGGACGGTCAGCCCCCTCTGCAGCGGGCGGTGCCCAGATGCCCCCGTCTCAGCAAACAGCAAGCTGTCCCACAGTCTTGGTCAGAACCCCAAGAGCCACCCTGGGTTTCCCTCACTTCCCATGTCCCCAGCAAGAACCAATTCTCCCTCAGATGTGGCCCACGTCTGTCCACTCTCTCACCTCTCTCTCTCTTGGACAGCTGCCACCTACGACCTGGGACCCCGCAACCTCTCGGGCTCAGAGGTGGGGTTCTCACCCGGGGCACTGCCACATTTGGGCTGCATGATTCCTCGCGGCCAGAGTCCCACAGATTCACAAAACGGCCTAGACTTCCACCACTAGATGGCAGCAGATGACCCCTGTCCCACTGCCCAAAGCTGGAATCTGAGCCCTGCGGGGCCTCTCACTATATCCCCAGCCCCCACCACGGTGCCTGGCGTACAGCAGTGTCCATGCTTGTCACCGAGTATCTGTGTCCACCCCCGGTAGCCCCCTTCTTTGCTGATTCTGGGCTTGATCCTGCGGCTCATCCTGGCCAACGGCCGAGGAATAACTGGGCACTCAGCAGAGACCTGCCGCCTCTCCTGCTGCTCCCGCAGGCCTCGGCGGAAGAGTCCTGGCCAGCCTGCTGGAGACCCGTGGCCCACGGCCACCAGCTAGCCAGCCAACACCAGCCAGGGACGAGGGCTCCGTCTCCCGGAGCCCAGCTAAGACCCTCCCGCCTCCCCCCGGACCCTCCCTCACCTCTCTCACTCTCGAAGCCAGAGGCCCCGACGTCCACGGCCTCCCAGTCCCTGGCGAAGCTGGGGTGCGTGGACTTCTCCCAGGGCAGCAGCGCCGTGGCCCTCTCGGGCTCCAGCAGCCCCCGCGTCTGCTCAGGCCTGAGGCTCTGCATGTCCCCAGGAGGACGTGGGGTTCAGGGACAGCTTCTCCTCTGGTCCCAGGAACAGGATTCAGAATCTGAGGACTGACAGACATCCGGCCACTCAACGCGTCGTTAAAAAGTGCAGGGTGCCAGGCTCCGTCCCAGGTGCCACAGGCACCCAGCGATCACAACAAGGCCACACTGTGGGATTCGCGCTCCAGCAGGAAGAGAGAGAGGGGACGGCAAGGACACCGTGTGTCAACGGCAGTGAGTGCCCGGAGGCCAACGAAGCAGGGAAGGGGAAGCTGGGCTGAGTGTGTGCCCAGACCCAAAGCACAGTCGAGGTTCCACGCCCAAAGCACAGTCGCGGGTCTTCAGAAGACAGAGTCACCCTCAGGTCCCTGCCTGGCTCATGGTTTGTCCCCAAGCGTCCATATGTTGGCGACACCACCAGCATGGTGATGATAGGAGGTGGTGGGCCCTCTCAGAGGTGGGGCCTACAGGGAGGTCACTGGTCACCCAGGCCTGTCCTTGAGAGGCAGCAAGGAGGTATCCAGGGACCCTGGTTTGTCTCTGACACCAGCCCCGCCTTGGAATCTCTGGCTACCTGCCTGGCAATTTAGAGGCCCTGTGTGTCACCCGGCAAGGCCACCCTCGCCAGGGCAAACCAATCGTGGGCTTTTGATTTTCCACAACTGTGGGCTAAATAAGCCTCTTTTCTTTATAAAGTTCCCAGTCTCAGGTGTTTTTCTATGGCAATGGAAAATGGATAAATCCAATCTTCTGTCACCAAGAGAAGGACCTGGCCTTCCCAGAGGGCCTGCAGTCCCACCCTCTCTTTTAGTCATAAAAATGATCAATTTGCCATGCAGGGGTTTAAAGTCTGTGATCCAATCCACCAGGCAACCAGGACACTGGTTTCATTAAAGAGGTTCGTGGCATAAAAGTTAACTAGTGAGATCCAATGAAGGTTGATGTGGGCAGCATTCCAAGGTCAGGGTCAGTGATTGGCCTCAGGGTCAGTGGTCAGTCACACCCACACACGGACAGGCTCTCGCACCTGGAGAGGGTGGGGATGAGCTCTGACAGTTTGGCCAGAGCGCCTCACACCCAATCCGGGAGGTGCCCAATCACGTGTGAGAATGGCCCCCCACCAACAAAGAGACATTTTTCAATATTCTCATCCTGTATCTGACTAACCTGCAACCAACCAGGAAGTTGTTGGCAAGACGCCATCTGAACTGTACTGACGTATAGTGATGCTGACCCCCCCACCTGGACCTGCTGCATGCATCCCTGAAATCACATAGATGACCACGGACTGCCCTAACCACCGACTGCCCTTACAAACAGTCACTGTTTTAAAAATGCACACTGTTAGAGCGGGAATCTTCTTAAAGCTTTTTCTTCTTTGCTGGGGTTATGCGAATACAGACTGTTCTATCGGATTTTTAAACCTGTAGATTCAAAGAGAACTTAGAAACCCCACAGTCTCTAAAGTGGAGGATTCCATGTTTGGATGCAGATTGTAAAAACCGCTAAAAAGACTTATTTAAGGAGAGCATGTAAATTCATGAAGAACTGGGGATTTGATGAGACCAAGGGACTGTCCCTGGTTTTGCTGAATGGGGGACACCATGGCCGAGGCGTGAGAAATGGTCCATCTTCTTTCTTCAGAGGTGCCCTCGCAGTGTGGAGGGGTGGACTGACGTGATGGCCGAGGTTCGCTTCATGCTCAGGCAGAGACAGGAAGACCATCTCCACAAATCTCACCTGTGCACGGAGCAGAGGGGGCTTCCAGAGCCGGGGCGGGGCGGGGAGGCAGGGAGGAGAGAGGAGGACAGTGTCCTCCAGCCCAGCAGGGACCGTGGAGGGGCACCGGTGTCCTCCAGCCCAGCAGGGACCCCGAGGTTCCCCATCAGGAAGAAGTAAGTGACAAATGTCTGAGGCGACAGACATGCCCGTGGCCCCATCTGTCGTCACACATGGCTCACACGTCCTGCAACGCCACACTCTACCCCTTAAATACGCCAACTATCATGTGCCCACTAAAAAGAGCTCTGCAAAGAAATGACAAGAATACAGACAGACGATGAAGGCGACCGGCCTGGGAGGCCAGGAGGTGCTTGTCGTGGGCGTGTGACAGGTGATGCACACTGAATGACGTTGATCAGAGCGGGTCAACGATAAGCTGATAGTCACTCTCGAGCACCTATGGGTGGGCAGAATGTGCCCTTTACTTCTGCGTCACAGATCATTATCCCCGGCTCCCTGGTGGGGACGGTGTCTCCAGGCCCTAGAACCCAGATCCAGACCCGTCGCTGGCCCTGACACCTCTGCCCACTGTCTCCCCAGGCAGGCTCCTCCTGGGTCCTCCGCCATCTCCACAGGCATCAGCACCCACTGTCCCTCCTCGTGCCCACACCAGGTCAGTGGCTGAGCCCACTGCGCTGCCTCCTGACGGGGCCTCAGCTCTCCCCCTTGCCTGTGTTCCTGTCCCCAGGACGCGGCAGCGTGACGCTGGTCTCCCTGGTGCCAACCCTTTCCCAGACCACTCCTCCACCAGCTCGCCCCCTCAGTCCCCCGTGGGCCAGCTGCAGGCAGAAGACAGACCCTGGCCCGGCCCTCTGCGCTCAAGGGCAGGGGCAGAGATCTCAGGCCTGCCCAAGACCTCAGGAGAGAGGAGCCGGGGAGAAAAGGCTGCCCTCCTCGGCACCGGGATCCCTGGGTCCTGGGGAAGGGCGCAGCTCCAGCTGGAGCACCTGACGTCCCCCACCAGCCGCCTGAGGAGTGTCCGGCTCAGCTTCCACTGTTGGCGATCATGGTCACCCTCGATCGCTGATAACAAGTAAGACCAGTGGCGCTGGCCCTCTTTATATCTGGGACATACGTTGCCCTCAGAAACTCCGGAGGTGGATTTAGGGGGCGGGCTGCTTCATGGGAGCCGATGGGAGCACCTGACAGCCCATCCACTCCTGGGCCGTGTAGCACCATCTGCCAGGGTTGAACACGCACTCACCCCAGGACACGGCAGTTCCACTCCTAGGCACTGACCCAAGGCAGGTGGAAGCCTGCATCAAGCACTAGTTCACGGATGGCGATACCCTCTGCTCATAGACACCGAGCTGCTCAAGCTCATAGTAAACCACTCGAGAGCATCATGAAAGGCCAACCACCAGCCAGACAAGGACACCTACGTTGCATCCATTCATTCAACAGACCCTGCATGAATATGCCATGTCTGCACCAAAATGTATGCAGAAAGGTAGGTAGGTAGATAGCTAGGGATAGAGATGGATGGATGGCTGGACAGACAGATGGGTAGACAGAGAGATGGAGATAGATGGATGGATGGATAATAGGTAGGTAGATACCTAGGGATAGAGATGGATGGATGGGTGGACAGACAAATGAGTAGAGAGAGAGAGACAGAGATAGATGGATGGATGGCTGATAGGTAGGTAGGTAGGTAGATAG